GCAGCTAATTTAGTTAATAAATCATTGAAAAACGCTTCGAAGGCGTCGATTCGGGCGTGGCTGGGCAGGAATTTCCGTTCGCCCGAGGCGAAGAAGCCATCGACACTTGAGTTGCGGTGAGAAGTGAGGAATGAGAAGCCACCTCTATATGATTCAGCGTTCCTGATTCAGCTGACAAGGTCGGGTAATTAACAGCTCGATTAAACATATTGCACTGCTCGATTGCGAATTCGAATGCGAATTCAATTAAAACATTAACAAACAGGTGCTGCGATGGCAAGTGGACCAAAGCAGACACCAATGGGATGGCGGAAGGCCAGGAGGCATAGCATCATCGCATCGATGTGGTCGTGGCTCCTCCACCTCCTTCGATTCTCCCGCCTTTCAGATCAGATTGAAAAACACTTTGTAAATGGGCCCTGCTACCGATTACCGCTTGGTGCGTGCATATTTGCCGATTTACATTGCGAATTTTTGTTTAAACACGCACACGCAGATCAATCAGAGTCAGTCTTGGCCAGCCGAACAGCAGAAGCCTTTTGACCCACCGTTCCACTTAACCCACCAACCACGCCCACCGCCCATCGCCCTCTTTAACCCACCATCGCCTCGCATCGCTGGCAGTTTTAAAACACACATGCAATCGGCTGTTTGCGTACATTGGCACGCTTTTGAGGGGCTTCGCTGTGTTCTGTGTTCTGCTGCTGTTGTTATTGCATTTAAATTTACACATTTTTTCGAATATATTTGCAAAAAAATATTCCGCATTCAAACGAGTTGAAACACGCACAAACACAAACATTTGCTTACTTTCCTTTCGCCGTATTTAATTGCACCGCAACTTAAATTTGTTGGCATTGCATTTATCGCAAATGTAATATGTAATAAGTATGTTGTTTGCAGGAAGTGGTTTAATTTCTATTCATTTGGATTAAATATGCAAAATGTACATGTAAATCGAGCAATAAGTAATATTATCGATAATATCGATAAGATTTAGAATCGGTAATTATTTGTCTTCTATTCATCTGGACTAAATATGGGCCCACTAAAAAGTTCGCATGTGTAAATAGCTTTCGTAGAAATGATTGAAATATCAGTAAGTATATCGATAATATGGATACATTTTCGATTTTATATCTAATATCTGCTGAAGGATAATAATATTTCTAAACAAAATTTGATACATATAGGAAATTTAGAATTACTCTTGCAAATTTACAGTTTCACAGCTTTAAAATGAAATAAACGAGGGGAAATAATGAAATGACATACTCTTGGCCGGAATCAAAGTAAACGTTATCGTTGTCCTCGACAATACGGAAAGACCCTAAACGATTTTTGCCTTACTTTCGCAAGTACGCATTTTTTTCCCTGCTAAAAAAGTTTCAATTCGAACGCCTAAGAGGGCAGGGAAGTATAAACACGATGCGGTACATTTTTCTGAGGATGCAAAGGAATTTTTAATATTTTAGCAAGAAGCGGTTGGTTGGTTGGTTGGTTCGTTGGATAGATTTACGGATGCCGGCGACCGGTTGAAAGATTGTAAGACAAGTAAGCAAGTCGAGAAGGTCATGAGCGGCTAGTCGTGGTCTTGGGCATTAGCAGCCGTAGACCCCGGATCCCTTATCCCGGATAAAGGAGCAAAGTATGGAAGGCGGCACACACTAGAGCAAGGGCAAAATTATTTTGCAATAAATTTTGTGACATATTTCCATGAATGTGAAAAACGCTTAAAGGAAAAGGAACAGGGAACCTTGCAGGCAGACAGGTAACATCTGGGGGGTTGTCGGCGGTTCAGTTTGGCTCGCTCGGATCGTCCTACGTACAGAGACACATATTAAATGCACATCAGGGCAGCACAAACACAATGGCAACTTAAATTGTCTAAGAAAATGTCACCAAAGGGGATTTGATTTCCTCTGACGCTTGCCTCGCAAAATAAGAGCAAATAAATACTTAGCGTGGGAACGCCAGAAACTCAACTCAACTTGCAGCGCGGCGATTTCGCAATCTGCGACTGTGACTTTATGACAGTTTGATTTATACATTATTGAAAAAGTTCTGTCGCAGGCGTAAAAATCAGTCGCCAGCGCCGACAATCACGTAGCCAATGCGACATTAGCACTGACAGCGACACCTCAGCTCAGTCCGGCGGCACTGAGAGAAATGGGTGTTTAGTATGATACCAAGATGACAGAAAATTTAATGGTAGTTCATAGAAAATTTCAATGAACTATTATAAAATCCCTATGGGTTTAAATTCCATAACTAAGCTGACCAAAAAAATATCGACAGTTTGCTATTTCTCGATATTTACTTCAAAACATCGATATTATCGACATTGTTAAAATATCGAAAGTATCGATAATTTTCGAGTTCTAATTCATTGCATCTTTGCGCTCAAAATTGTTGCATACTTTTAGACACCTTTACAAGTGATTTCGAAAACTTAAGTTTCGCTTCGGAACTTAGATATTCGATGTGTTTTTTTTTGTGTACAACTATTCACCCAACACAGACTCAGACTCGGCGCCAAGACACGTTACGCACAGTAAGCCCATAAATAATTTTTGCGCCAAAAATGTTGTCTTTGAGCCAACACTGCTATCCGCCCGATATCCGCCCAACCGCCAGCCGTCAATGAAGGGAAATTCATTTTTAATGCGCTCTGACTGGTATCAGTATCAGTAAAGCTCCCATCTATAGAATATAGACTATAGACTGCGTGGAAGTTTTGCTCAATTGATGTCTTGGCTCGTGAATATTGGGCTGTCCCGTCGTCTCCGCTACTTTTTCGGCATGGGAATTAATTAAAAAAGTTTTCAATCAGCCTGCGCTGCGTCGTCAGTGTCGCGTAGAAAGGAGAGCAATAAGTACATACTTCCTGTTCTATGCGATGACGAAAAATGTGCCATCAAGTAACACGCCTACGCCTCGATTTTAGGCTCTAGTTGTGGAATGTGTTCCTGGGAGCTGCCTGCACAAACAGTTGCCGAAAAACAAAGAAATCCACACACTCAGGGGCTAACACTCTAGCCTCAGCCATCCACCATCTACCTCCGGAGCAGTTTTCGATGGCTTTTGATAAGAGTACGGCAGATATAGCACCGGGTGGGGCAGGACCGACCCCCCTACGTACATTGAAAAAAGTTTTAATTTATGTCAAAAGCTTTCACCAAGAATTTTAATATGCGCACAATTTTTGCAAAGTTGTCCCTACCGCTTTGTGCCTGTGCCTGGAGGAGACTGGAGGAGCATGGAGGAGCTCCCGCTGCCACCTTTATATTCAAACTTATCGAATCCCTCCGAGATGCGACAACATTCTGAGCAGAATGCTAAATAAAAAACCATTTTGACAGGGTTTTTAGCCCCTTAAAAGCAGAGAGTCAATTCGAGAGGCAAATGCAGATGCAAGACGTGTAAAGTAACGCTTGTTATTCAATATATATTTCTCGGTGTCGGGCAGCAATTGCTATCAATGCTGCCAATGTTTGCCATACTCTTCGGCCACAAAAGCAACACACAACTGACAACCACAAACACGCAAAGCAAAACCGAGCAGAAACAGAAACAACTGAACTTCAAGAAAACTCCTCGAAACGTCCCAAGTCTCTAGTTTCTTTTGAGGCGATGGCACTTTTTTCTACTCGATTTTGTTTGCTTTTCTATTTTGCACATTTTTTTCACACGACAAACCCAGTGAAAATGTCATGAATGCTACTATGTACATTTTTATATTGAGCATTTCAGTTGGCCCTTTATCTACAAATTGGCACACGAGTTTTGGTCCCTCCATGAAAGGCACGGACATCATTTGACAGTTTTAGGACTTTTTCAAATTTCATAGTTCTGCCTTCAAAAGAACTTATTAATTTGTGAATGCGAAGGATGTCAATTATGGCTGTTGAAAAGAGTTTAAGAGTCTAGTCATATAAGTCGTTACGAACAACACATTTAATTTTAAGTAAACTTTCTATTCAGTCCTTTGAAAAAAACTCACTAATGCCTAAGAAATGCCTATGTTACCTTACTGCCACCCTAATCTAAAAATTGGCAGATAATTTTTTAAACATGTTTAATCCTTTAACGTGATATAAAACCAATTTGTTAATATTTGTAAATTGATTCCGCTCGTGTCAAATAATACAATGTAATATAATAATATATATGTAATAATACGTAAATATTTGTACCTACATTGTTTTAAGTTTCTAGTTTCTTGAGAGATTTTGCTAAAATTTAAATCATTTTATATTTATATAAATGTTACTAAAACAAAATTACTTAAATATATGTAATACTAGGTTAATATTTGTACCTACATTTTTAAGTTTCTAGGTTCTTGAGAGATTTTGTTAAAATGTAAATCATTTTATATTTATATAAATGTCATTAAAACAAATCGCTTTAAAACTTGACTTTGTAAAAATGTGCTGTAATTATTAAGGCTTAAGATATCTTTCCTAAAACTTGAAAACTAGCACTACGTTTTCAAAATAGCCTTTTGATAAAATATAAATCTAGTTTAAAAAGAGCGCCAAAAGTGTAGTGAACCCAAGTTCTGAACCAGGCTAAAGCTTTTAGGTGGGTATATTGGCTATTACATTCTGGGTGTTACATTATCCAAACAGTTTGGATATTTGGATAACTATCGATATGTATGTACATGATATTGGGTATATTTCTCTCATACACCGATCTCTGTTACCGTAGAGGATAGCTATGTTTTATTTTTATTTTTTTAATAGCTAAATACGCACTTTTTAATATTGTATTGCAATAAGGTAGCCAAAACCTCAGACGATAGGTGTGTGTACACGCTAAGTTACCGAGGACACCCTCCGCAGCTTTTGTTAGCATAACAGCCGCTGCTCTGTCACTGTATAATCTCAATACAATCTTAACATTTCTGTTAGCATTTAACATTTCAAGATGTGCCAGCACCGATAGGCGCCACTATCGATGTTTTCCGAAGGGCCCAACATCGATGCATCGATGGTTTGATCGGCGCTTCCCCACCTCTACAGAACTCTAACCGACGAAGTGTCATTGTTTTTTTTTCTAATGTAATGGACTTAAATCTTTGCATTCGAATCGAGTGAATCCGGGACTGCAGTCTCCCCCCCGAACACCAAACACCCAATCGAATTCGCGGCCAGAGGAGCGGATAGAGAGCACCGAGGATAGAGGAAACGCTTAAAATTGATTTGTTTGTCCGGCCATGTCAGTGTGTGTGTGACAAGGGCTCGTCCGTGTGCGTGCGCCTGTCGCTGTGTGTGTGTGCTCTCTTTTTTTTCTTCCTATCGAGTGCCGCTAAATTGAATAATTGCAGTAAGAGCCACCAATATAAATATATGTATATCCTACCCCCCTCTCCTACAAAGGAACAGTAAAAATAAGAGCAAGAGGAAGAACACTAACTAGCGTTAAACAAATGAAACTCTGCCGATACAGCGAAGTAAAAATCAATAATTAGAGCTCGTTCGCAAGCGAAAAAGGTATGCAGTAGAGCCAAAAAAACACAGAACGCAACATACATACATCTGTACATGTGCAGCCGTGTAGGGTATGTATGTGTGGTTGTATATCGGGCATTTTATGCAAATCTAAGGCAAAAGATACAGGGTATCCGTCAGGTATCAGATAGTTGTGATGTTCTATATTAGATGGTACATCGCTGTAACGAAAAAAAGTGAAAAGTGGACAATTCCTGGGTATTACGTAGCTACATGGCAAAAACAAAAAAAAAACAGGCAAAACACACAATGCAAAAACACATGCGACGTAACCCAGTGGCTAAATTCCGTTATTCCGATTCCGACCAACATCAAAGCGGAAAGGAAAGAGGAAGAAAAGGAAAGGAAGGGATGGGGATGGAGGAAAGAAGAAGAAGAAGAAGAAGAGGAAAGGTTTCTTCTGCATTGCAGTGAATTGCGTTCGTTTACGACCCACAAGACCCCCCAAAACACCCAAAACCCCACCCCTTCCATTCCCCATTTCACTTTCTTGGGCCTCTATAAGCTCCATAAGCCAATAAGTTCACTTCCATTCATGTATCGAATTGCAAAAGTGGCTTATTGAATCGAGAAATCCTCAGAAACCGAAACGTTCCATTCAGAACTAGAGGAAAACTAGAGGAAAAACATCTAAATATGTTTAATTACCTAATGTGCCACAAAGTATAGTGCATATAGTACACAGTATCTATAGTACACAATGCACTTTTGGCCAGCCAGGCAGTTCGCCAATCCAATCCAATACCAAATACCATTCACATTCACGAGTGTACGAGTGAGTGTACGAAAATCGATTGAATCGTGTAACTAAAACATACAAGTATGTATGTTCAATGTTGCATGCATGTGAATGTACGCATGCCAAATGCCTGCGGATATAAGCAGTTTTTCTAATTTGAAAAGTCGAGATTGTATATCTTTAGTTCTTTTTGCAGTCCCAAAAACATATGATCTGATTTGATTTTTGCATACCGTAAAGCCATTGTTAGAAACTTATGTATGTTTAAACTTTAAACCTTATGAAACTAAATTTCGAAATATCCACAAATGAGAAGTACGATTTAAATTTACGCTCAAATGAAAGTTAGATTTGTAGCTTTGGTTTTTATTAATAATTAATACTTAATAACTAGTCCATTAGCATTGAAATTTTTAATTTGTTAAAATAAAAACAGAGCTTCCGCTTCAGTTTGATATCGGTTTGGTGTTACTTTTCTGAATATATTGGTATTATCATCATCATACTCCTACAAATCACCATATAAATTAGCACAACAGATTTCACCAAGATATAAAGTGCGTGAAATTCGATTCCAGAGTCATGTTAAACAGCGCAAATAACAATTCTCCCCAGCACGTAAGTAGACGAAAATCGTCATAAAAACAATAGATTTCTTTATGTCTTGTTTATGTGAAATTCATATGTACACATGTAACTTGTATGAATCTTTGAGCACTTGCATGCATGTTATGTTTAGTAAATATTGCATATGATTTTTTGATTTTAAGGGGGCAAAATTTGATACCCTTGCTGAGAAAGAAACCACCTAAAAAATTACCTACAATGAAATCGATGAAATTCCTGATATTTAAATGATTCGTTTAATGATTGCAAGATATTCTTGTGCAGGCATTTTAGTATTCTTACGTATAGCATGATATTATGATAATGTATATTAACTTCAGGTCGATGAATGTAATTACTTTTTCAAGTTTTATAATATTTTCAAATAGCAAGTATTTTATATATTGTATTTAAGGTAACTTCAAAAGTTGTTGCTCCAATTTCAAGCTTTAAATAGCCATACCCCATAGTTAATTGGTCTATGGTATGCTTTCCTTTGATTTAACTAATCACAATTATCAAGAAAACCAAATGCTTGATATTTTTAAGCACTAAGGGCTAGCTGGTCTTAATATACGAGACAATTACAATTTTCGCCATCAGTTGTCCGACAAATGACACTTAACACACAGGTGCGACGTTATATAAATGTGCAGCAATGAATTCGAATTGGTCAGAACAACGAAAATATAAGAGGATATCACCTCGAGCCTAACAAGTTTTTGATTGTTTCAATTGTTTGATTTCGAGCCTTTCACCTTACACATTCTGGCGTTTCGAGTATCTTGATTCCCACTTTTTAGCTTTTACATAGTCTGATGTTCTACACACTTTTTCAACGTTCTTTTGAACGATATTGCATGCGTTTTGTTCTCTAGTAGGTGCTTCTTTTCTTTTTTCAAATTTTAAACCCTTTTTTTTCTTTGGCAACTTATAGACAGACCATATTTTATTCAGATCATCCTTTAATTTAAGCACTTTGCTTTTCGTTTTTGAAATTTTATGAGCCGTCCTTTTTTCCACCAACGCGCACATGAATAATCTGCAAGACTGTAGGCGTCGGTTCCTCCAAAACTTAGACCAAAAATATAATTTCTTCAAGCTGATATATCGTATATCCCGGAGTATTAGTATTTGTACACGCACACACATTTTCATTTTCGCAACATATTTATTTTAGAAATGTTGCTGTTGATTACTGCAGATTTTGATACGCCAATGCAACTCATGCATCTCTGAGTTTGTGCTGCAGCTGCTGCAGCAATAACCGCTCCACCGGCATCCAAATTTTAATGTAATTTCGTTCATGACGCTGCTGCTGGGTTGGTAATGCCTTTCTGACATTTTGACTTCATTAATTCGACGAGAATCTGCCTTCTGGGCCTTCTGGCTGTCTGCAAAAGTTTTATCAGCACCAAAGCATCTCAATTTTCGCCATGCACCGTGCCTTTTGTGATAAATGTCATTAAGGCAAGGTTGCTAGCCATCCTCTGTAAACAACAAGCCCCTTAAATATTTTTTAGAATATTAATTTTAAGCTTTAAATGGCAAACTCATGCTTAAAAATAAAACCCCCTGAATTCCAGAGGATTTCCATTACCTAACTCTTTTCAAAGTCTTCAAGCTACGGTGCTCTACCGAACGAAACGGACTACGAATCCCTAATAGACAGCCACATGTGTGGTGTCTTCCCTTTAAAAGGGTATATAAATATCGAGCTCCTCGAAATACGTAGCTAGTCGCGCAAATTATCTACACACGTACAAACATGTGTTTTTACACATGTATGTGCATTTTTAAAATTTTTTTTTCATAATTGCAGTTCCTTCTATAAAATTAGCTGCAGTTGGCTTTTGTCGTTGTCAGATAAATGCCAGTGCTTAGCCGGGAAACTCGACATTTATCAGTCGCTGGGTTGTAGACGGTCTTGAATGTCGCATCGTTGCTCGTTGGCTGACTTTACTTGACTTTATCTAGTGGGAATAGTGAGGAATCGGACCCGCAATGTATCCAGTGTCCTATAAACCAGGCTACAAGTCGTGCTATAGCTATAGATCCTGTCACCATGCCATGCGTATAGCGAGGTCTTCCATTTGTTATCAACGGCAGCACTTTTATGCCGCCTCAAGTTATGCGGGCAAAAGGTCGCGGCTGTTTGTTAAGCGGCGAATTATGCTTCCCTCATTGCCTTGCAATGTAAGTAGTTCATCGATGAAAGGCTGACAGGTCAAGGATATAATTTCATATGCCTAAATACATGTTAATCGACCGAAATACGAGAGAAACCCTTTTTACTAAACATATTGTTGTGCTATTGTGTATTAAAAACGTCTTGTTATAACTGTCTATATGGTATTGATGTTGTTGTGCGTAATATTAACCTAAACAAAACATTGTGTGTATGTAATCTGTGATTTGGGTGATATATTCCGAAAAGAAGAATCCATTTGTAGAATTTTATTCCGTTAAATATGCTCAAGAACCCAACTTACTACTTGCATACACACAAAAAGGGTCCTGGAAAGGAAGTTTGAATGCTTTTCGTTGTACTTGTACAGTGTGAGAAATAAATGCGTAAATACCAGTAAACTTACTATTAATGTATTCATATTTATAGCCGGTGAGTGCACCATCTGATATCAACATGAACGGATATAACCGGAAGTCGCCTCAAAAACGGCGCTATGAGATGCCAAAATATGCTGGTAAGTAATGCTACCCAGCCAAATCAAACCCATTCAGCACTAACCCCAAATCGCAAATTATTCCCACAGTATCACCAAAAAAGAAAACCTGCAAGGAGCGCATTCCGCAGCCAAAGAATACGGTGGCAATGCTGAATGAGTTAAGACATGGACTGATTTACAAATTGGAGTCACAGACTGGTCCGGTGCACGCACCTTTATTTACGATATCCGTTGAGGTAAGACACATATTGACTTGATCAATCTGGGCTATCAATAATTCAAAGGAACACATGCCCTTAAAAGGTGGCGTGTTGCACGCCATGTTCTGCTGGTACTTGAACTTTGATTTATTCCATATTAGGCTTGTGGGATGCAAATTTAGAAAAATAATAAATACATGTATGTAGATAGTAGCTCCATCGGTCACTTGAAAACACTAGTAACCAATAGGAACTGCATTTCATTTATACGCAATTGTCGTTCGAACAAACTAAAATTAGTATTCCACACGGGCCCATAAATTCCATATGAATAGATTAGATCAACATGAATGGAATGAGTGGTGGAAACTAGGGTAAATTGCTCTAACAAACTGCATGACAACTAATTGCTTCAGTTCCGAGATAATAAATAAATAAAAAACTATTATCCCACTTGATTAAAATTAATCTACATTTTATTCACAGGTCGATGGACAGAAATACTTGGGCCAGGGTCGCAGTAAAAAAGTTGCACGCATCGAGGCAGCTGCCACAGCACTGCGAAGCTTTATACAATTCAAGGACGGAGCCGTCTTGTCGCCATTGAAGCCATCGGGCAACTTGGACTTTACCAGCGATGAACATCTAGAAAATGGTATTGAAAATTTGTCCAACAAACAATTGGTCGAGATCATTGAGCCGTTGATGTTGACTGAAAAGAAATCCAACCTTACCTCGCTTGAACAACCCACGTTGCGTCTTCAAATGTTTTGCATGAGTCAGAGCAAGTATTAGTGTTTTTTTTCCTTTCCTTTTTTGTTGAATATTTTAATTTATTTATTAACATAATTTATTTGGAAATCTTATGAGTTTATATGAGTGACCCTATGCACTTTAACTTGAGGTATATAAGTATGTATCATGAATAATTGAAATATATGTATGTTAAATGTGTCATAAGGTTCACAATGTTTGTATTATTTTATTAAAATGTATAATAGCGAATTTAGACTAAAGTTTTTCTTTAGTCAGTACAAATGAACAAATTGAAACATCTATTTAAAAGCTTCAGTCTATAATCGCTCGTTTATTTTAATTTTCCTTTAATGTACAAGCTTTTTCATTAAAATATTTTCGTTCAGTAATAATGTCCCATGTCCTGGAAACAGTTTTATTACATATGTATATGTTCGTAATACAGCAACCAATTAACCTACGTTTAATTATATATTTGTATGTGAACCCTATAATTTCATAAGTCAGTTGTATTCCTTGTTTTCGTTTCCCCTGCATTCTGCTTATACGGTTGGAGAACACTATTGCGTGTGAAATAAGTTTAGACATCTAAGACATAATTCCATAACAAAGAGCAATCAACTATCTCTACTAACCTCTTTCTGTATTGCTAGATGTCAGCAAGAGTGCCATCACTGTTGACGGTCAAAAGAAGGTTCCGGACAAGGGTCCCGTAATGCTGCTCTACGAATTGTTCAACGATGTTAATTTTGAATGCATTAATATTGACGGAGCTCAAAACAATTGTCGCTTCAAGATGACCGTCACGATTAACGAAAAGAAGTTCGATGGAACAGGTTTGTAGTGTGGACTTATCGCGTAAAGATCTTATAAATCTCATAAAATAAATGCGTTTCTTCTCAAGGTCCTTCCAAAAAGCTGGCGAAAAATGCTGCGGCCAAAGCGGCACTTGCCTCGTTGTGCAACATTTCCTACAGTCCAATGGTGGTGCCACAAAAGAACGTACCCCTTCCAATCGACGACAAGTCGTCATCCATGGAGTTGCCGCAGATACATGCCGATACGATTGGACGCCTGGTTTTGGAGAAGTTCATGGAAGTAATCAAGGGCCAGGAGGCCTACTCGCGTCGAAAGGTATTGGCGGGCATTGTTATGACTGAAAACATGAATTTTTGTGAAGCCAAAGTAAGTCGATAGTCGCGATAGCCAATGTGTAAGCACTTATAATACCAACCATGTACACTTGACCAGGTTATTTCAGTCTCGACGGGCACCAAGTGTGTCAGCGGCGAGCATATGAGTGTGAACGGAGCTGTCCTGAACGATTCCCATGCCGAAATAGTGTCTAGGCGTTGTCTCCTCAAGTTCTTGTATGCACAGCTGGATCTTCAGTGCAATCAGGGTATAGTTAATTGATGCTTATGCTAAGTTCTACTTACGTTCACTAATAATACAATAGAAGTTAAGCTTAAGTATTATGCATAAATTAGCTGTTGAATGTTAATATTTAATTGTACGGTTTGGCAGGTAAAACGGTTAGTTATACATACGTATGAGCTAAAGTTACTTTTTGTGCTTATTGGTCATACACAAGCACAATGATTTTTTCCTGTCTTTTTTTTTATTCAGTTTTTAGGCACACGCAAAATACCCTCAAAAGCTAAATTATGTTTTCCTAGTCAGATCGCTTTGAAGCGTTTAGGCAAATTTTAAGGATGATCATCTGTTAAAAATAAACAAGTTGTAAACTTTACTTAACAAATTCAAGCACGAACATTCACTCTTTATTAATAATGGTATTTATTTATCTTGTTACTAATTCGGCTACTAACATTTGAGTAAATTTAAGTTTAACTAAGTCAACTAAAAACCAAGTAACATTACGATTGTTTAGTAGCACAGGTAGCTTGTGAAGTTACTTAGATTATGTTCTGTTGTCCAAAATTCAATGGCTGTGGTATGATTTGGGTTAATAGACAGCATCACCTGACGCCTCACAAGCAAATTAAGAAAAAAACAAATTTTTACAAATGCAATTTTCTTTTGTTCAGAAATAACAACGACCCAGATTTCAATAGTCGATGTGTGAATATGTTGGCGACATCAGGGTGTTTTTAATGATGTAATTTTTAGGTAAAACCTTTGGTTTTGCATTGCCGGGTCACGTGTATTTTAGTCTTAAGTGAAAAACACACCTGTTAGAAATACAGTACAATAGGTATCAGTTGCATAGTACTTTGAAATTGGCTTAATGCTTCCCCAACTTTAATTGCATACTAAAACCTGTTGCGCATTGTTTTATTGGACTTCTTTTCATGCATACCTGTGCGTATTGGTGAAAAGAAAGAAATTTAAACATAAATCTACTTCGTTTTACTTTAATTTATATTTGATTACTCTTATTCAATTTTCTCCTAAATTTAGCCACAGCATATCAGTCGATTTTCGTGAGGAATACTGATGGGCAATACCCTTATAAACTAAAATCCGGGGTACATTTCCATTTGTATATAAATACAGCACCTTGTGGGGATGCACGGATATTTAGTCCTCACGAAAACGACACTGGTGTTGATAAACATCCAAATAGGTTGGTACAAAAGACATTCTATAACTACTTGATATTATTAAAATTAAAATGATACTTTTTATACCTATTTACATTTACACTTCAAAATGTATTATTCAAGTAGAATCATAATTATTAATAGTTGTACGTTACTTATAAAAATCAGCGTTTGTGTGCGGGAAATGCATTAAGAAAAAAAGAGAAATATGTATATGCCTAAATAAAAACGTACATCCCTATATATACATTTGCGTGCGTGGAAAACCAAGTGCCACAAGTTCTTTTTTGAAAATATGCTACATTTGCTTCTAATGAACTATGAATTGAAATGTACAAAAAAGACTAGATAAATAAAATGGTAAATGTATTTAAAAATATTTTTACACATCATTTGTCGCACATTTTCAAAATAATTTGTGGAATACAACGCACGAAACTGTATGTATAGAATATGTGGAATTATCAATCTGAACATAAGCATGAATGTATACAACCAATTCAGGTATTTTTAATTTTTTTTTTTTGTAATGAGTATTGTTAAATTTGTATTTGTCTCGGAGGTTTGTTTACTTTGGCATTTGTCTACGTTGTCCGTCTGTCTGTTTGTAATAAATGTGTAGAATATGTGTAACGCGGTGAAGGTGTCTCTTCCCTTAAAAATATACTATTGATCACCATTAGCTTAGTCTATATAGACATCTTGGTCGTTCTATAAGTCAAGGACATGACTTTGACTAAGGAGCAGGTACCTAAATTACTTCAAAGATCAAACCGATCAAAATCAGAATATAAACTATAGTAGTATCTGCCATATTCAACATATATTTGTATTATACAACATATATTATATCACTTGTATAACCTTCGGCTAGCCGAAGATAATTTAGCCTCCCAAAGAACCTAATAAAAACAAATGTATTAGGAACTATAAAAGATGTGAAGATTTACCATTCAGACAATGCCACCAAACTGAAGTAATTCATACAATGTTTTGTTCCCAGTATGACTTGGCATGTTTTAATATAATTTTAAAGCAAGCTAATAATTCTATTTTTCATATTCATTTTTATAATGCCGACAACGAATCATACATGAAATAATCATCAATCAACAGAAAAGCTCGCGGCCAGTTGCGTACAAAAATCGAGTCCGGTGAGGGGACGATTCCAGTCAAAAGCAGTGATGGAATACAGACGTGGGATGGCGTGCTGCAGGTAAACTAATAATAAATCACTATTAAGGCATGTAATGACATTTGCATTTATTTATCATATTTGTGCAGGGCCAACGCTTGCTGACAATGTCGTGCTCGGACAAAATTGCACGATGGAACATCGTGGGTATACAAGGCTCCTTGTTGTCTTCCATAATTGAACCAGTGTACCTGCATTCGATTGTGCTGGGCAGTTTGCTGCACCCAGAGCACATGTACCGTGCAGTGTGCGGCCGGATCGAAAAGTCCATTCAAGGTCTGCCGCCGCCGTATCATTTGAATAAGCCCCGGCTCGCATTGGTCACTTCGGCCGAGCCGCGGAATCAGGCCAAGGCTCCAAACTTTGGTATCAATTGGACCATTGGAGATACCGAGTTGGAAGTGGTGAACTCGCTTACTGGTCGAACAATCGGCGGTCAAGTGTCTCGCATCACGAAACAGGCGTTTTTTGTTAAATATGGATTTTTAATGACAAACTTACCAGGTATTTTAGTCCGCAAAGTAACCACAGACTACGGGCAAACCAAAGCTAACGTAAAGGACTATCAGGTAGGTCAATTAATTGTTCCTTCATGTATTATAAAAAAAACTACTTACGATGTCTTATTATACATAGATCGCAAAGCTAGAATTGTTTTCGGCATTCAAACGTGAAGACCTTGGCAGCTGGCTGAAGAAACCCATTGAACAAGACGAGTTCGGTCTTGCCGAATGACTGCACTCAGCACTATTATATAATTTAAAAAAAGACAACAGTAACGGCAAGCAATTAATAGAATTAGATGACATAGATTTTATGACAAACTCTTATGTAGAATGCAAATTAAGTTGGGTGCAAAGACATCGATATGAAATTCATACGATTGAGAACCTGCCAACATTGCGTACCCATTGCAACAGCAAGCACAAAGATGCTTATGCTCGAAATATGAAAAAAGGCTCTAGAATATTTATAGAATAGAATGTAGTTTTTATGCTGGAACTGAGTAAAGGAGTATTATGGCGTTTTTTTTTGAATCAATTCATTTTCAAATTGGTTAAGGCAATCTCTTTCGCATCTAAGTTTGCCACACGTTTCATTTTTTAAATCGAAATAAAACGATTTCGCCCCAACCACACTGTTATAATTTTCAAGTGAGTTGGGTTGTTTAAGTGCCCATATTTTACAAAAATGTGGTAATAAATAATGTTGCAAGACAGGTAAAACAAGAAGGGAAGCCCTTGCAGATCGTTCCTATGGCAGCTGTATGAAATAGCACTCCAGAGTTTCTGTATTATATTGTTTTTCCTTTATTTTCCGATCGTTCATATAATAGTCATCCATTTTTTCTTTTAATTTAACTCGTTATTCTAAAATATTTTTAATATTCCCTAAAAAGAAGAAATAATGTTTAAAAACAACGAATTTATAATTTTTCTCTATTAATTTTCCGTTTTGATGTCCCTCTGCAAGGGTAAAAAACTATAAAACCAACAAGTAAAATCTATAAATAACAATAACCAAAACAGAAATCTCTAGACTTTGTTCTGTTATCGATTAAGCAATGTATTTTGTTAAGTAATGTTATTTGCAACGACATAATAATTATAATAAAGTCACGCTTACTATAAGCATAACGTAAACTTTAGGTGAATCTACATTATTTCCACATATTTTTCTTCAGATCATATATACACCTAAGCTTTCATCGATTTTCAATAAATAAAACTGTGTTCTCGGTTGAAAAACTTTAAATATAAAAACATTTTATCAATTTAATTATGTAGATTTTTTTAAAAATTAGTTGAAATCACATGCAAATGAAAAGGATATAAATAGATTAGTTAAAAATTTTATAGCATGATAAAGACATTTTAAATACCTAAGTCTAATAATGAAGCTTGTAACGCCATTTTGTATAATGTAGACGACATATTGTATTAGTTGTACACTTGTACATCATAATATTTTCTATTAAAAACTTACTTCTTCCTGATTTCTTCCAATTGGCTTATTTCTGGTTGTTCGATCAATTAAAAATGGCAATTGTAAATGGTCAAGAATCATGCTGAAATACAAAAGTATTTACTTTTTAATGATTGCTCTTCCAACGTGACCTGAAGTATTCGTATTCAATATAAGGCGATTTGGCCCTTTCTTTTCAATTGTACATGGAAATGGTACGATTAATAAACTAGTCAGATGTGGTATTCTCATTATCTTTAAAAATTGAGTCATGTAAAATAAGTATTACGTCGAAGTTGCATAAAACACGAAAAAGAAAAGGACTGCAAGACGTTAGAGCAGAACAGCTTATTTCGTGCACTCAGTTGTAATTTTTCCGAATCGACTTGACAACAACAAAAATACATACGACTTCAAAAAAGTTAAAATACCGTTTTGTTATGATATAATTTCTCAAGAAAACCCGTTTGTTTATTTTCGTACTAGAACACTTCAGCTTATCTCGTGCAACGACTTGTAGAATAGCCGAAATTATTTTAATTGTTTTGTTTTTTTTACTAAGTTTGTAACTTTATTATTAACTTGTAAAACGCTAAAATGTTGACAAATAAATTTTAGAAATTTAATACATTTATGTACCAAAATGCAAAAATAAAATGTTTTAACAACAATGAATATAAATTAATTTCACTTTAATTTCTGAAATATTATTCCTTAAATACCTGTATTGGGTAATTCCTTATTTTCCAAAAAATAATTATTTTATGAAAATTTGATCTTTGTTTAATAGTAAATCTAAAATTAGTAATTTCTTATTATTATTTTCAAGGCCTGATAAATGTCAATTTTTAAATGTCTGTACGAAATAAGCTCTGGAAATGTAATATACCTTACGGGATACCAACTTCTGTTACAATATTATAATGAACGGGGCTTTTTACATGTGAAATTATAAGCTAAGAAAACATTGCTTGCGATTTTCAATATGTTTTGTATTTTTGAAGTTATGCCGATATCAAAAAATGAAATTATATATTTTTTCTTTTAGTTTTTTTCGCCGCATGCTAAAAATAAATTGGCAGAGTATGAGTATTCGTAAAAGAGAATACACAGCTTGTGAGATTTTCTCCATTACTTGATTATATAATAATATATACCATTCTAATATGACGATATAATTGACTTAAGTAATATTTGCAAAAAATACCGCATATGATGGATAAACAAAAGTTGATCTTATATAAAATACTGTGATACTAAATTTTACTAGTACTTCCAGCATAGCTGCATTTTATCCATTCTTAAATATTCTATGATAAGCAGCAGCAGATAATAATCAATGACTATATAGGAAAACAAAAAATTTTTAAATGACATGGCTCAATGCTTGTCTACATTAGATTTTCAAATAAGAAATTTTACAATATATATATTAATACGTATGAAAAGGTGGGTATAACATTGGGATTCCTTAAATATCATTTTAAATTGCAATGCAAAACAATAGGCCCTATGATGCAAGCATAAATAGATGATCTTTAGTCAACTAACTTTTATTGCTGCAACATAACAAAAGTACAGAAAACTGGAGAACAAAAATATACTGGAACATATATTAAATTAAAATCAATAATATGTAGGTTAGATGCGTCGGTTTATTCAAGACCCAGCTAAGAAAAGTTTAATATTTATTAAAACAATTATCTAAGAAAGCTGATAAAACTATGAGACATTTTTTTAATTTAAATTAGTTTGGGGAAAAGTAAATATTTACAATAGTATGCTAGTCATTAAACGAGTATTCTACTCTTGTTATGGAATGGCTTTGATTCTTCACATATTAAGTTGATTTGCCTAATAATTCGTATACATATTATTTTAAATTATAATTGAGAACTGTTTGCGAAAAAGAAATAGAAATACCACAGTTTTAAATGGATATTAATTGTACTTGCAAGCTTGACTTACAATAATATAGATAAGAAGTATACAAAGCAAAAGGTTGCTCAAATTGCAAAGCTTTTGGAAAGTATTTCTCTCTCTTCCGGACAAAAGTGTAGTCCTGCAAACATACATAAGTAGATGCTTATAGAACACATCGGGCTATATTGTAACCCGTTAAAACAGTGATAAGAAGATGCGTTGAGACCCGTACCACTATGATGTAGACCAAAACGAGGCAAAGAAATGTTATTAAAACCGTATAGCAGGAAGATAAACTAATCAACCAGTACTACATACATATGTACGTTGTCAGCAATCCAACAAAGATGTTTGGATTAGTCGCATAGGACAATTACATTATTTGAAATTGTACGAATATTTAAGACAACTAATGTCAAACTTGGGTTAACTTATATTCTTTAGAATCTAAACATGGGCAACATCGAAGGTGAACACTTACTATTGATTTGTAGTTTTAAAATGTTGAAAGACTATAACCAAATGAATTATCTAAGACACAACCGGCAAAACCTAGTGCCGTTCAGAGAAAGGGATGCACATAAAAATATGACAAATCTGCTTTCATTTATATTTTTAAACTTCACGGCATCTTTAAATATCATCTCTGAGATTACAGAATATATACTTACTCATTAACTTCTTATTCTGACTACAAATGATATAAAAGACAAAACACTTAATATCTAAATATACAGAACAAACTTGAATTTAAAAACTAGGTTTACACGTTCCAATTCGAACACTTGAACTTCACTTATCCACATTTCATCAAGTTTACCAAGACAATTTACATGACGATTCATTGAAGTACCAAAGTATCAAACAATATAATCGGAAAATTAAAAATACTGTTAAATCGATTATCTGTTTTTCGAAAAAGAATCCACATTTTCATTTAAGCATCCACACATTTTTTTGATTCCACCGAAATTTTTTAATTTTTAAGGATAAGTGGGTTTATAAAAGTCTTAAGCAAATGCAGACATCCAAAAATCGAATCGCTTCTTTAGTTTTGAAAACAGTATATGCATAACATAATATATAAAAATACACACTTATACGTAAATCTTTGTTCTTGATCAAAAGTTAGTGCAAATATCCAAACGAATAAAGCAGAATAATAAACACTTAATATCTAAATAAACAGAACAAACTTTAATTAAAAGAAATTAGGTTTACACTACGTACACTAAAACTTCGCTTATCTAAATTTCAATAAGTACGTTTAGATAAACAAAACATTAAGATACCAAAGTAGTAACAATCTAGTCGGAAAATGAGAAATCATATTTAAATGCAGTTTATGTTGCGACAAATTAAATACTTTTTTAGGCATTGATTGCTTTCTTGGTTCTTCAAAATGTGTAATTTTGGAGGACAAGTGGGTTCAAGAAGGTCACAATCGAATGCAGACATCAAAAAATATGACATTACTTTAAACATTTAGTTTTAAAACAAACCCGAATGTACCATGAAATCAGTATATGCATAGCTTAATATATACAAAATACACACTTATACGTAAAATTTTGTTCTTCATCAAAATTTAGTGCAAATAGCCAGACGATTAAAATAGAATAATAGCAAGCAACAACAACAGTGTTGGCGGCTACATTAAAACAAATGTATCAATACTTTAAAAATTTTAAAATAGATCTTACGATGGCCTTTTTATTTTATAATCGACTGTCAGCCAATAAAATGATCCCCACGTCATTAAAGCCGAAATTTAAACCTTATAAGCCTATGAATACTTACATAAATCGTTCGGTCTCCAACTAATGTAAATGAAAATTAAATAAATTACCAGTAATATATAGAGTACAAAACTGGGCACTAATTTTTATTATTTTGAAAAATGGTGGCCAGGGTAAAACCGCGTTCCTATAGCTCCCATAGGAACTATCGGATGGAACTTGCAAAATCCACCTGTTTGTGAAGATATTTTGCGCGGTGTAAGTCCTATTGACATAAATCTTTTAAAATCTTATTTTGGTATGCATATTTAGATCAGGATTAAAGCGCTTGCCGTTCGGACGTCCAATCCTATAGCTCAAATTCGAGAAATAGGGTGAAAAAGGTAAAAATGTAATGCTTTTTAAGGTATGCATATATTTTGTGGCCTATTATTCCATTTGTTCCACTTATACTATTCTTCTACTTATACTTACAAATTGATGCTTAAAAGTCTTATTTCCCTTGAATAGCCATTTTCAAATGTGTTTGCGTAAAAATTCTCCTAGGCAATTGAAAATGGCTATAAACCGAATAAAATCTGTAAAAATTCAACAGTTACGTAGCCAGGATTTTGTTAAGGGGGAGCTTCTAGTACAAATTTTTTGTAGCATACTTCTGAAAACCGGAGAGGTTGATTATTTGATTGCACTTGGTGAAATTTGAAATTTCCTATGGAATATGGATAAATGAAAAATCCTAAGACGAAATGTGTTATACGGGAGTACCACAGAAATCTCGTTCAACAAAATTCGATTACTATTTATATGTATGTACAATGTTCATCCATTCAAACTCCAATCGTCTTAGGCTGAAAGAGATTTAAGTGATACCCGAGATAATACGGCTCGTTTTAACAAACTTTCAGGTCAAGGACACAAAACTGAAGTGGATTTTGAGACTAGTAATTGGAACAGATATTGAAATTTTACGTCATTTTATTAATTAAATGATCTCGGAATTTGACTCTTAAAAATGTTTTTGTTGCTTTGATTGATAGATTTTTTATTTTTACAACCTTATTTAATATTACATTTTATATTCTTATAGGAAATGTGTATGTAGGCAAGTGAAAGCACTTGTTATAATAGCAATGGGATTCATTTGACCGCCATTTCCGTTCTGGCCAGCAAAACTGGTTCCATTACACGATTCAGTACTTGGATTACATGAAATAACACGGCGGGACCACTATTGCGATTGGTTAAAGGGCAAAGGGCGTCACATCAACTTGTTAGAGCGGGCGGTCGTCTTCCGGATAAACGTCATGATCTACTACACATCACTTAAAGTCTGGTAAGTCTTTTTTTATTTTTAATAGTATTTTAAGCTAACATTAAGGTTTTTATTATATTCTTGTATTTTTTTTTTAATTTTTAGGTTTTTAAAATATTTAAGAAAATATCGAGAGATTATGTGATTATCGTAGCGTTGATTTTCCACACAGCATGCAGGTTTCGTCGACAACGAACTTGTTGAAAAGTACGTAACAGCCCGCTGTTAACGAAACCCGACTTCAGTGAGGATTTTTGTTCTTAGGTATTATTTTAAAATCACTTCTGAGAAATACACTTGATAACAAACCGAATCCGTGGAATCCCATCTGAAAAATATAAAAAACTGTATTATTAACTTTGGTTTTGTATCTCAATGGATGTTTAGAAGGATAATCGTGTAATAATGGATTTGGTAGAAACATTATAATATTTATTCCAATGGCTCGCAAATTAAAATGAAAGTGTGAAATATGAAAAAAAGCTGAGATGCTGTTGCCCGGTGAAAAACACCGACAAACAAGAAAGTAAATAATTCACTTAAAAGCAAATAAAATTTAATTTACTTTCAACGGAAATGTGCACAGTACGAAGGGAGGCACTTAAGCCGACAGCCATGCTTGTGTGTTGTGTTGCTTATAGAATGCAGACAGTTCATCCCGCCATCCTCTGGGCCAAAAAGAAACAGAAAGCTACGCAAATTACACTGAAACCATGGCAATGACACTAAAAACCTTATACAAATTTTAAAAATAACTAAAGGTACTTTCACGTTATAGGAATAATTTCGTAGGAGTAGGAGATATTTTGCCCCTGTAAAGTTATTTTTAAATATAATTGAATGTAACTTAAGTTATGGTCGTTAAGTTATATTTAAAAATGAATTCCATTAGGTTGTTTGAAAGTTTTTTTTAATCAGCAGTGGATTTTATTGATTCTCCTACATAGTTACCCAGAATAACAAGTCTACAAATCTAAAAATTTCCACAAAACTTCAACACTTCCTCACTCACTAATACACAATCCCCAAATTAAACTCTTTGGAGCGTTTTCTGCAAGCTCGAAGTAAAGTAATCTTGTATAATGTGGATGCAGCTGTAAGTCCAAAATAAACTTCGTATTAACACGTCTCAAAATAACATATCAATATTGTTAGAGGCTGTCGGGCATTCATAAAGGGAGCCAAAAAAAGATTACTAAAGCGGAAAGATGATGATGGGGAGCCAACGCTCCGTATTTCCGATGATGAAATTGATGATGAAAGTAGCCATAAATATTTTGCCAGTGATAAAATTCAATTACCATCGGGAAGAGATGAGAACTGTAATAAATTCGATAGCGTTTATTTAACCAACCCTTCGATGAACGAGCTAATGCGAACTATTCTTACCGCTACGTCAATGGATAAATTTAAGCGCATAATAGTCTCGGGGCCAAATACTCGGGATAACTGTGAAATTTTCCATGTGCAAGCACCCAGAAGTTCATCAATAGGTTGCCATCAATATAGACAAGATCTACCGAACCGAACCTTGTCCTTCGATGACTTGGACCACCTGAAGCGGTTGGCCACCTCGGAACCTCTGTTGTGGAGAGTCCGTTCGGAGGGCAACTTGACGGAGGAATGGCAGCCGGTTTTCGCACCGCATCTAAATCAATCCGATTACGCTATATACTATGATGCTATATCCAATGCGAATTCGGAGTCTATCAGTTCTTTGGTTTGCATTGGATGCACAGCCGACTTTGGGAACCGCATTGTAATGGATTGCGAAGATCATCTGGTTCAAGAACCCACGAAGCCCCAAGATCTTCGGATCGAGAACCCTAAATCGCCAGTACCTCAAAACGCAAGCATATGTTATTGGATTAATTTGGCTCATTTGCTACTGGTGATCGCATGCCTCCGCGGACTCTTATAAAAATGTAATTTAAATGGATTACATACCAAAATGATTTTACATATATAGTATATAGTGATTTTACAGGGTATAGACAAGTTAGATCTGTAGTATTTTCTTAAATTTTTAATTTTCACAAATAAGCTGAACAATTAATCAGACCTCACTAAAACTTTACTGCTTAGCATTAAGCTCTAACTCGAGAACTTGCAACCCCAAAAAAAAGCGAACTTGGGAGGAGAGGACACTTGGTTTCGGGGTATTTGCCTTGTCGTTTTCTTGATGATGACAGTTCTGTAGAGCAAAAGGCACATAAACACATTTACCCGGCAGCTTGTTGAAAAGTGGCTTGTTTTCTTGGATTTTGCCTATCGGCGATATGAAAAATGCATGTGTGTGCTGGGATCTGCTGGTATATATGTATCTATATCTATGTCTGGCGTTATATCCGTGTCAGAGCGTGGTAATAACCAATTTTGCAAAGTGATGACATCTTTATTCCAGTTGTGAGCATTCCTGCAGGGGGAATACAAGCATACACTTTCTAGGGGACTCAACTTGAGTACTTTACATGTTGAGAAAATAGACTTGATGTCCTTATTTTACATAAATGTATGAGTTACTGCATGTAACTCAATACCACTTGTTGTAAAACTCAACAGATTCATTAAATACTTATAGTTTCTCTCTTCGCCTTGTGCCATTTTAATAGTCATTCTTATTTAGAATGTGAGTAGTATAGATTAGTTGTGCAAATTGTTTGAGCAAATGAATGCACCACGAGTGTATGTGTACGAATGCATATTCAATTTGAGTGAGTGAATGCCTGCACGGGTATATTGGTATATTGGTACTCAGCTGCAATAATAAAGTTTGCAGCCAGCCACTTTGGATCTAATGCACGCAAAGTGCCATTAAAGGGTGGCCCTGGTTCCTGGTCCCCATTGATCGGTGGTCTCTCTCCTCTCGGTAAAAAGTGAGCAAATCGAATTATTGGACACAAAGTCAGCTACAAGCCACACAAGTATTTTGTTGTTTCCGATACAATAATAGCATAATAGAGTTTTCAGTGCCCTAATTATATTAAAATCGAGACAAACGCACCTTTGCAGAGTCTACCAGCGTTTTTTTTAGACTTGGTTAATAAACGATACCGTTTTTATATCAGAAATGAATACTTTATGGGGTCTACTGTATTCTGACTTAATTTTGAACATTCTCAGCAAGGGAATAAATAATACTATTGCATAAAGATTATATAGATATTTATCTATTCTATTCCGACTGAAATTTAAACATTCTCTATTGTTTTCTCATTAGTAATATTATATTATTGCATAAAGATTATATAGATGTTTATATAGACCCCGAGTGCTGTCACACTTTATATGACACACGTAATTCTGGAGCATAAAAGTTATAGTTTGGGTGGCAGGAAGAAAGAAATAAGTACAATGCATCATTCGACACACAGGTACTCAAACTTTTGCATCCAACATGCGGCAACAAGAACATAACTACAAAAAGTTTATTCTACTTAATTTTATTTTATATTTTTTGTTTTTTTTTTTTGCTATATTCACCGTGTAGCAATGGCAGAGGTAGTGGTAACGGATGTGAAGGCGGATGTTGTGAAACCTCTTTGTTGTGGCAAACACTTACGCACACCAGCCAATGAAGCGGAAGTCGACAAACGTAACGTCGTGTACTGTCACAGTCACAGGAACAGTCACTTTATATGTGTGTTTGCGTCGAGTGTGGTATTGTAACACGCACATTTCCGGTGCTACCGACCGACATCTACCGTCTACCGCCGACGTCATCTGTTTGAGAATTTATCACTGGCTTTTGTTTCGACATCCAAGTTAACTGGCGCGTTGACAGTCGAAAATGTCCTAAAATGAGCTTTGTTTGTTTGTAGAGTCTCCCCGCTCTCGCCACTTTTGCTTACCAAGCATTCGGCTTTATAAAAACCCTGGGCGAATTTCACTACTTTCTAGTAAAGGCATTTTACATTTTTGTTTTGCTATAAATCTTTGCTGGGTCTCGACCTCAGTAGTGTATTGAAAATAAACCTATGTATCCTAAGTCTCAAAATGTTTCTAAATCTGACCATTTTTTAAAAAAGGACATATACATTACACAAATTTGATGAAATGTTATTATAGGTAGTGGAATTAGTATATGCACAGAAAAAAGATTCGATATGAAATAAGATCATTTCAATAAAAAGCCGGTATGATTAATGTCAAATTTATGATTGAAAAATACCAACTTGATATGTTATCATATCATATCATATTTTGAACAAATAATGTAAAATACGATAAACATAATCTTTATTCCTATGAAAATGATATGAATAACTTCATCTTGAAAAAATATAAAATTGACCAGCACATATCAATCTGATCTTTTGTCAATTTTATTTCTGTGTGATATTTCTTTTGTAACTACTGCTGTGAATATATTTTTTTAACTAGCCACTGTGGAATAATATTTGTTGTGCTGCGACTAAAAGAACAATGAGAATGGAGTTCCTATTGCCGTGCTATTATTAGCTGAACTATATAAAACAGTTATTCTCCATCTACTAGGTCAGAGCTTCAGCTCCTAAGTTGCAAGAGATAGAGATAGAATCGAGAGTGGATGGAAAAGAAGTCGCATTTAAGTTGAACCCAACCCCGGAATCGCTTACATGCCTGCCCCGCGCACACAATAACTATTTGTAGTCGCCCAAGCGATTGCCCATGGTTGCCATTTAAATGTGGTCCAAGAGCACTGCGCAGGCAATAGACCATGACCGTGGACAAAGATATAGTTCGATGGCCGGATGGCCGATTGTCTGTTTGTCTGACTGCCTGCTTGGTTGGTTGGTTTACTGACTGCCGCTGTAATTGTGCTCCAATCGCAAGAACGAGCCCATAAAGTCCAAGAGTGGTAACATTTGAGTGCCTGCTTATTGTGTTCGTTCCAAAAAGCACCGCCTGACTGCTTGAATATACACATGAATACTATATATATACTATTCTATATATATATGACAACAAGTTTGGCATTAAGGGCTAGACTTGAAACAGAAAGGGCTAACAGCTACTTGAAATAATTATATTATAATGATTATAGATTTGGTGTTGTTAAAAACTTTATTTGGCAGTAATAAAATGAAATATCATAGTTTACTTGCTTTGCCTACAATAATTTTTCAGAATTTTCCTCTAGATTGTTCAATTTATTGTCTAAGTAAAAATAAAATAAAAAATTATATTTTTGGAATTTGCTATTTTATTTTATATTATTGAGCTAAAAACCTTTAGAACCCTAGAGTTTTACGATTTGTAAAAGGGCCTGTCAATTCAAATTCCTAAAAAACTACCGAAATATCAGTTTAGAAAATATACTCCTAGTTTATAGGATCAAATATGCTGCTCCCACCTGTTACATAGTCCTTGGCCAGTCTCATTTGCGATTAGGACGGGTATAAAATCAACTGAATGCAAACCTTTTGTTGCAGACACCTGTTACCATTTATTGGCTATGCTTGTACTTAAGTTTTTACTCTACACAATGTCAATTGATTATTTTTCAAGCCCAGGTTTCGGTTAATATATTTTAACGAACGTTTTCCTTACCGGTGAATATTTCGAAATCACTCGGGAAAATAATGACTCCTTTCCTTTCCGAACAGCTGGCCGTTTGAATGTTCCTAATAGTGTTTGTTCAAATAACTTACATATGCACACGGAAGTTTTCCTCTATTAATGTATATGGGAAAAAATGTATACCTTAAGTCTTTAAGGCGTTTTCACAAAACAAAAAAAATGTAGTAATAAATAAACACAACATTTTGTTATTTTATCTCTTGTAAAGTAACAGGAACAAAAAAAACTCGCAACGTTTCACGCGAACTTCAAGCGTAATAAATATTTTTGTAGGCCAAGCGCGTTGGCATATAAGTACTTCCGCCTCGAACGTCCCGAATCGAATGAACCCACAACTGATTCTCGTTCAAAATGAAAACTTTTTGCAGGGCAAGAGAAAGGCCAGTGCGATACGATGCGATGCGATGCGATGCTATGCTTTTTCAACCCCCAATTTCCAGTGGGCGAAACAAGGGCTTGTTGTATACACAGAAGCACTGCTATACGTATACGTATACGTATACCGTGTGTGTGAGGGCTCATGCATAGAGTATGGGGTGTGTGTGTGTGTGTGTGTGTGCAGGTAGGGGTGGGGGTTTGGGTGCTGGAGTGGATGGGGTGGTAGTGGTAGTGGGAGTGAGTGGTGTGCTGGCAGAAAAGCGACGCAACGTATCCACAACACAATGGCATTGCACTGCTGCTCCGCGACCCAGCAGCATCACTCTTCGTCCACCCCATTGCCCTCCCATTACCACCCACTGCCACCCATTACCACCCACACCCAGGCCACCTCGATGGAAGGCTTCGTCGTCGTCGTTGTCGGCGAAATCAGTGACACGAGCCGCTCGTCGTGCTGGCGGGGATTTGGCTGCGCTGGGGCATGACGATGCTCGATGCTCGCCGTCGGGAGAGCGCACCTTTGAACTGTTGCTGTTGGTGTTGCTAGTGCTGTCAGAGCCATCGGATGGCTGGATGGTCAGAACGGAACGGATCGGGATCGGCGAGGGTGGCCATTTGAAACGGGCACGTATAGCGTACAGTATAGGTACAGGTATAAGGCATAGGGTACAGGGTATAGTATGGAAATTCATCATTTTCTTCCTTTTTTGCGTATTTTCAATGCACCAGACACAACTCGTTGGAGGTAAGGGAACGGGAACGAACGGCGTAGACGACATAAATCTTTTCTAGCTCTTGCTCCTGGCGACTCAATCGATGTGGATCTTTGTTTTTGGTCAGATGGTCAGGAAGCGGTCCATTCCATGTTACATATTTTGTCTGGTCGAATCTAGGAAATAAAATAACATTAAATTAGCTTTAAAAAAAACTAGGTTTACCCTAGATAGTGTTTATGACAAAACTTCCAAAAAGAAATCTGAAGAATTCGCGTTATT